GAATGATGAGGGCAATGAATGTACAAATGTGCTTTATACAATTGATGTATGTATGGATTGTAATAAGAGTTGTATGAGCCCTTAATAAAACGATTATATATATAAAATAGAATTCTGCCACAAACTTTTTGAAAATCCCACATATGTAGGATCAAGTTGACAAAAGCAACCCGAAAGATACAACAGAAACCTTAGGGGCCAGTGAGTTTATATTAATGGGGGGAAAAAAACTCAGAAAAGGCATATGAAAATGACTGCACAAATTGAAAAATTTAATCAATGCCATGGAGTTGAGCATGTAGAACCTTTTGAATTGGTGCATGTTTTGCTATGTATATTCTAAACATATTTGGTAGGTGTACAGACTCTGAAATCACTTCCTGGTTGGAATCCTTTTTATACCAATTACTCACTGTGGGACCTTCAGAAAGTTACTTCACCTCTCCAACCTTCCATTCCCTTATGAGGTAACAGTATCTCAAAGAACTGATAGAAAGATGAAATGAGATAATGCATGCAAACTTCTTAACAGTGCTTGGAGCACAGTAAGCACGCAATCTATAACTATGCTATAGACACAGGTAGAAAAAAAAGGTCAAACTTATTATTATGCTAAATAAGTTCTCCAGGATTTGACTAACACCTGCTTTGTTAGTCCTATACTTTGGTGTCAACCTGGAGAGAGAGAAAAGTGCAGGGGTGAGCCAGTCAGGGTGTGTGTAGCACCGATGAAACTTATAACTTTTCTCTAGCTCTTAAATGCTTCCTCCCCCCACTATCATGATCCCAATTCTACTTTACAAATCTGGCTAGACCAGAGCATGTACACTGGTACAGATAGGAACTGGAAACACAGGGAATCCAGAACAGATGACCCCTTCAGGACCAGTGGTGAAGTGGCGAAACCTGGAGGGTGGGGGGAAGGTGGGGTAAACAGGGGGAACCCATTACAAGGATCTACGTATAACCTCCTCCCTGGGGGATGGTCAACAGGAAAGTGGGTGAAGGGAGTCGGACAGTATAAGAAATGACAAAATAATAACAATATATAAATTATCATGGATTCACGAGGGAGAGGGGAGGGGGAAGGACGGGGAAAAATGAGGAGCTGATACCAAGGGCTCAAGCAGAAATCAAATGTTTTGAGAATGATAATGGCAACAAATGTACAAATGTGCTTGACACATGGTTGTATGTATAGATTGTGATAAGAATTGTACGAGTCCCCAATAAAATGATTTAAAAAAAAGTGCAGGGGTGGTATTCAACTTGTCAAACAGGTCACACAGCCTAGTGCCTCCTTGTAACATGGCCTTCTCATCTTCCTGGTGGCTGATCCTGATTGCTGCTAGAGCCACAGCCATCGGATCCACAGGACTCTGCACCCACCAACCTGTGATCTTCTTACATTCTGCATCACTGCAATAGGCTGCATGAGTCTGAAGAGGGACTCAAAGGTTAGACTGGACTTTAAGGACTTGAGTTGGACTCGGGTGGGATGTTTCCTTGATACATAATTACTTCTTGATATAAAGCTCTTTCCTACACATATGTGTCACTGTATTTGCTTATCTAGTCAACCCGCACTACCACAACTGCTTAAACTCTCCTCTTTCATTTGCCTCATTAATGGTCACTGGCCATATCTACAGCTCACATCTATACCCCAAGGCTTCAGTCACACTCACCAATCTGCAGATCCAGCAGCTACCAGACAAATTTCTTTTTGTTCTTATTCTCTGTACTGAGTCTCTGTAATGCTGTATCCTAGGAGGTTAGGTATCCTCTTAACTCTAGATACCCAGCTCTTGCATACTTTCTTCTCGAAGGGGCCTCTCTGACTTAGCCCTAACTTTGCTACCTTTCCCCTATGTACACTGCACAATTCTAGTCCACCCTCTCATAATAATTAAACTGTATCAGAATCGGGCTGGGGCTTTGCCACCTCTGCATACTGCAAAACACTGCCTGCCTGGTACAAAGCAGGAGCTCGGCAATTACTTAACAGAAAAAAATATATGAGTGCAGAAAAAAATATATGAGTGTTTCATCCATTTGATATTTTTCAAACTCTTCCTAGGGATAACAAAAATGCAAAGATTTCTTCAGATATCTATAAATATGCCTACAGAAACCTTAACCAAATATGAATATTTCCTAAGGTTTTATGAAATCTTTGGTTTCCCCTTTAAAAACCCTCAAAATTTTGTACGAGTCTGTATTTGTTTTAGCCCACAATACCAATCAGCCCCTCCACCAAGTTCAATGACTGCTGGAGATCAGACCTAAGCCTCACAGCATAGGGATGTCCATAGCACTGGACAGAATATACTCCAGTTATCAGGTAAAGAAGTATGGTACTGTGTGCTAGCTATGATGAACCATGGCTAAACCTAGCAGGAAAACTTGTGAAAATGCCTGTTCTTCAGAGCAAGACACAGAATTTGGATGGAATATACAAAAGACAAGATGTCCTAAATTAACCCCAGAATTTCACAAGGGTAATGTTATATGCCAAAAGAAACAAAAAGTTATGAACTTTCACAACATTGTCAAAAGAACTGAGCTGACAGAATATGGGTCAGAACTCCTTCAGGTAACATAAGTTAAAGAAAGTTTCAGCAATAGGCAAAAATGAAGCAAACACACATTTGTCCAGCAAAATAGAGTCCTGCTGTGTGATAGGCCAGCACAATAACTGAAACAGATCCTCTAATTAAGTAACTTTAGAGTTCTCCAGAGCTTCTTCACACTCTTCAATCCTCTTATTTTTAGATACTGTGATAATTAGCTTTTTTGTCAACTTGGCTCTACTTGTAAGAAGATATGGGTGGAGTCCAACCTCTCATTGGGTTCACAGCCTGCAGGTCTCCTTGGGTGTGTGTGGCTTATTTGATATCCATAAAGGACACTGTGGAGAACCGGCCCACTCTCCCTCTTCCTGTTGGCTTGCTTCTTGCATCTGGGCCTGGTGGCCTGCCAACCTTTGGGAGCTGTCTGCAGTCTATGCTCCCTGCCTTGGTGCACTCAACTCTTGTCTAGACTGGCCTGTGATCTTCCCTCTTTCTTTATCGGTCAGGTAGGGTCCATAGCTAGCATATGACCCACAGACTGGAGCTGGACTAAGACTGCCCACTCTGTGGCTGCATGGACTGCTTTCTTGATATACATTTCTTTCTTATTTATATAAGTCACTGGTTTTGTTTCTCCAGAAAACCTAGCCTAATACAGATACTAACACACTGCTTCTGCTGTTCGATGTAGTTTCAAAGAACCAAATTGTATTTTGATAAAACTATTTTGAGGGTAAAGAAGGCAAAACCACGGTTATAATATACAGGACTTTGTCACAACTACTTAACTCTACTACTGCAGTAAATTTCCATGTATCTTGAAATACTACTCTTCTTTTGATCTCCCTCCCCCAAACCATTTAAAAAGATAAGACTGTTCTTAGCTCATATGCCATACAAATGTAAGCAGTAGGCCGGATAATGTCTGCAGGCAGTTTGCTGCCCCCTAATCTAGCATAAAACAGATTAAAAAAGGTAAATATACTGATATTACTAAAAATTAGGTTCTATTATCCAGGAAAAACACACATAAAAGAGAAAAAGGAACGTAAAATTGTACATACAGTGTGAGCTTAATTCTTGGAGAAGTGTGTATATGCTAGCAGATGTTCCTATTCACCTGTCGTTATCAGGTGCCATCAAGTCAGCTTTGACTGTGATGATCTTCTGTGCAGCACAAGGAAACACTGCCCACATACCATCGTCACAATCTGTGGTATGTGCGAGCCCATTGCTGAGTCTGTTGTGCAGCACATTCCAACATTAAACTTACACTTGCTGCTATCACGTCTTGACTCACAAAGACCCTAAAGGACAGTGGCCAACTGCCCCATGGGTTTCTGAGGTTGCAAATCTTTATGCTAGCAGAAAGCCTCATCTTTTCCCCGCAGAACTGGTGGGGTTGAATCACAGACCCTGTGGTTAGCAGGGTCTAACGCGTTATACCCCCCATTATAATGCCAGGAGAGCTGCTATCCACTGTCATAGGGGTCTCATATTCCAGCACTATACTGGACAACAGTCTGTTATCATCCATACACTTTCATTTACTAAATTTTGGAAGTAGAATTCTAAGTCTCTCTTCTTAGTGTGGACGTTTTGCTGAAACCTGTGTACCACGGTGATCCCACTGATATTTGAGACAGGTGGAATAGCATTACATATGTGACTAAGTTGCCACAGCACGACAAACCAAGAGATGGGTCAACTCATATTGTTTTTGTTAGCTACTATCATGTTTGCCCAATACTCATGGTGACCCATGCATATAGGGCATAAAAGGGACCAAAGTAATTATAATAAACTATAACAACAGAATGAAGAGTGATTACTATCTTTTCCAAAACGAACATATAATTCTTTTAAAATCAGTATACCAAAAGAGCCTGATTTTTACACATACCTTTCGGAGTTTGAACTTGATTCTGCTTTAGTACAGAAGTTAAGTAGTGAGGTGATAAAGAGCCACTGAAAAATACGGAAGACAAATGTGCTTATAAAAACTATTCTTTAAAGCCAAAACAAAAACCAGAATTTCTAACAATAAAAACACAAAGCATTTTTGCCTTGTTTTCTTTGCTAAAAGTATTCCGTTTAGGATGCGCCCACCACAGCAGAAAGTACCGGGCTGCTGAGTGGAAGCAATCCCAGACTGACTCACAACTATTTGGATGATCTTAAGAAACAATAAGTAATCTCATAGATTCTTCTATAAAGTAGGAATAATGAACTCTCTCACAGAGTTGTTATAATAAGAATTTTTAAAATGCATTCAAAATGGCTTGTCTGAGGCAATGCCTGGAATTGATAATGAAATTTTTCCTCGAACTCTTTTAAAGCCTCCCCAGACATATTGCAGTTTTGTGTTCAACACTTTAGTATGATGTGGACTAGTATAGGTATTACCATAGAAATGAAGGTATTTATCAAAACAAATGGTTATGAGACTGGAATGTAATGAAGACAGGTATGTTCCTGAATAAATATCACTATTAAATTACACTTTCTATATTCATAGAAAGAAACCAGACTTTACTATTTTTTTTAATTCCAAAAATTGTAACACTTTATAAAGAAAATAATTTCTTTTATTTGGAATTTGTGAGATTTAAAATTTTTAAAACCCAATTAAGATCTTTTTATCTACACCATATTTCATACTCTTCACACTTATAAATTAATATGAGAAGGCTACACAAAGGTATGGTAGACAGACACCCCCCCCAAAAAAAAAAACCATAAAGGAAAAAAAGTTTCATTTCACATTAAAAGTAAAGTTTTAATAAAAAGCCAAAGATTTAAAGTTTTACGTTATTGTTATTTTTATCTGCTCTTTTTTCTTTTATGCTACAAATTACTTTTATCTACCATTTAAACAGTCAGGCTAAAAATAAAAACATGAAAATGCAGGCACAGCTAAGTGTATTTGTGATAGTCTTCACACTAACAGTGGCAATACACTCACATCTTAAGTAAAACTTCATAGCTACAATAGAACATGTCATCAACAGAACTTTCCTTTAGTTTCTAAATTTTTTTTTTAAAAAACTAAAATAGGAAAAGAAACATTTATTTTAAAAAAATCCCAAAATTATTTGCTAAAAGAACTCTGGATTTTTGTGATTAATTTATTGTAAGGGTGGGATAAAAATTAAAATATCCTTTAGTTTATAGCTGAAAACCAACTTATTTCAGGAAAGGACAGATCCTGGGTTCCTTCTGAGCATCAAAGCTTATATAGTTTCTCTTCGGAACACAGCCTCCATTCAAGAGGCTCCTCTCTTCCCTCTGAACAGATTCTTGGTTTCAGCCACTCTCAGCGGAGGGGCAACTAGCACGACACCGTCACTCCGCACAAAGAGCATTGGAGTATCCCATTTCATTGATTTACATATCTCTTCATACGCCTCTTTATCAATTCTATAGAAGTCAGTTTCTTCCACATCTCCCAGTATCATATTTAAATGCTGATCATCAGCATGCAGTCTTCCTCGAAGCTCTATTATTTCACATTTTCACATCAATGCCTTCATCCAGGCTGAGCCCGATGAGATCCAGAGACTCCTCTACTGTGTTGGTAGTTTGTTGCTGGTCCACAGCGTCTCTAGTTTCTAAATTATTATTTAACTATAGCACTTCAAAAGTGCTAGCATTTAATAAGATGCTAACTCATAAATGAAGAAATAGGTTCTCCCGGCCCCCACTAAATTTCAGCTACAAGTTTTCCTCTAGAAGCTATTGAACATGGTAATAATTCAAATGGAATTATTTGAAGTTTATAGTTACCGTATATACTCGAGTATAAGCCGACCCAAATATCCACCGAGGTGCCTAATTTTACCACAAAAACTGCATTAAAAATGTGCTGAAAAACTCAGCTTATCCAGGAGTATATATGGTAGTTTTTCATTACAAAACGTTTTAATTCTTTAAAAGACATTACCCTTTACAAACTACCCATAAAAGCATCCTAACAAAATCTTCCATTTTCAACACCAATGAATACACATAATAGAATTTTAAGATTTTCAAAGCTTCCTTAGAAAAATAAACAAACTCAGATTTAAGAAGCTTATCTAATACTCAGATTTGACTTTAAATGAGAAAGCTCTAGGATTAATAGGAGCCAGAGTTTGAAAACAAAAAAAACAAAGAAAGCTATAGATACAATGCAGAATTACTTAATATGGCTTTTCTAGCCACAGTCTTTGTTACTCCCATCAAACTTTCATTTTCCTAATGGGTCTGGGTTGGAAGGTGGGGAAAGATAATGATTAGACTATGGTTCAGCTATGAGTTATTGTTAACAGGGTTCATAGTGATTGTCAACCTGCTTGATATAAAATGAGCCATTTCAGTAAGGAAAGGGCGTGGGAGAAATCTTACTACCAGCAAGAAAAAAGAGAGCATGAGGCAGAGTGGTGGAATTCCCAGCCCTCCGAGCATGTAAAGCTGAGTGCTTGGGCAGGAGACGGAACACTTAATTGGGAGAGCAGAGTTTGCTGGCCCATAGAACTCGAGCTGTGTTAACTTCAGGGTAAGGCTCACTGCAGAGGGCTATGCCCTTTGAGCACTTATTGACAGCCCTAAAAGAGCTTTGTAGCATTGCCCAAGCAGGGAAGAGGCCAGGTCAAAGACTGAGAACCAGAGAAAGGCCTGCTGCCCGCAGGCATAGCAGAGGAGAAACTAACCTGACTGTACAACTACATCCTAAGCATTTCTTACATGAATTGTAACCTGTGAACTTCCCTAATAAACTCCATAATCACGAGTATTGTCTGGGAGTTTCATGTAGTCATGTAATGAACCCAGCAAGAAAGGAGATGTCATAGGAGGAATGGTTGGTGTCAGAATCGGGTTGAGAAAGAGGGAGATGGATGTCTGGATTGTTATCCTGGTAAGAGCCCCCAATAAAATGATCTTTGAAAAAAGAAAGAGGGAAGGCAGAGGCATGTCTGGCCCTTGCCTTCTGGCAGTGGCAATCAGCTTGGGAGCCGGAGGAAGTCAGATGTGTCCCCCACACTGTTTTCT